CATGTCACCTAGGGCCCCCCAAGAAATGACAACTTGAAAGTGGAAGTGATTTAATTCACATCCCTTCCACATTCAGAGATCGGTGGGAGATCAGCAGTTGGAATGTAGGAAAGGATGCTTTTAAATGCCCACCCGCAATTATGTGGCTGCTGTCCGGCTGTTTATGTACAATGGCCAGACGACAACCAGTTAACTATCCTTGGATTCAGGGAAAAAAAATTTTTGTAAATAAAATGGCTCCTCATTCTGGTGTGTTAGCTTTGTAAATGAAGCCTATTTTGTTCTTTCTGTCTTTAAAAGAGATGTTAAACTGTAGACAAATGTTGATATACAGTGCCGCTAAATTTCATGCTGGAGACCCCTTGGCTCTGCAGGTCTTGCTGATCCATTGACGAAAGCACAGTCCTGCTCATGCAAAGCACTGGCTACAGTGCGAGCAGTTCATTCTGGTTCACCGACTCTCCTCTCTGTACAGAAGGCATTTGAGGCCAGGATCAGGGAAAGTTCAGTGTGCTTATGAAAGGGATAGGGAAATAAACTGTGTGTGTGTGGGGTGGGAGGAAATGGAAGCTTTTCCATTACTCTGCTTGGGGCACTTGGGAATTTCATGCCAGTGCATGGGCTATGTGCACAAAGAAGTACCCAGCACTTAATAGAAGAAATTATTTAGAAGTTTAGCATTTAAAGACTTATACAGAGCAGAAGTATATTTTACTTTAAGCAATGCATGTAACTAGTACTAGTTATCTCAACCTAGGTAGATGTGTAAGACCAATGGAAAGCTGCATCATTCAACTGTAGTTTTAGCGTAATATCTTTTTTTTTTTTTCTGTCTGCCTTGGCTGCTGTCACAAGTGAGTTTTATTATGCTCAAAGTGATCTCCTGAAAAACATGTGTTGAGACAGTGATGTCACTACAGAGAGATGGCTGTCTAGCTTCACTGCGCACACAGTAACCTTTCATTTAGACACTTAAGACAAGTCTGTGTTTTTTTTTTTTTCAGTTTCTGCATACATTTTTTTTTGGACTACTTTCACAGGCAGAGCCCTCCTCACCATCTTGACAATCTATTGTAACTGTAATGTCCTTCTTATATTGTAAAGCGCTGTGCAAACTGTGGCCACTTTCTTAGGTACACCTGTTTGTACAATTGTTTGGCTGATTAGCAATTTGTGTTCTCAATCACATGGCAGCAACTCAATGCATTTAGGCATCTAGACGTGGTGAAGATGATTTGCTGAAGTTCAAACCGAGCATCAGAATGGGGAAGAAAGGTGATTTAAGTGACTTTGAACGTGGCATGGCTGTTGGTGCCAGATGAGCTGGTCTTGAGTATTTCAGCAACTGCTGATCTATTGGGATTTTCATACACAACCATCTCTAGGGTTTACAGAGAATGGTCAGAAAAAGAGAAGATATCCAGTGAGCGGCAGTTGCGTGGATGAAAATGCCTTATTGATGTCAGAGGTCCGAGGAGAATGGGCAGACTGGTTCAAGATGATAGAAAGGCAACAGTAACTCAAATAAGCACTCGCTACATCCAAGGTATGCAGAATACCATCTCTGAACACACAACACATCCAACCTTGAAGCAGATGGGCTACTGCAGCAGAAGATCACACCAGGCGCCACTCCTGTTGGCTAAGAACAGGGAACGGAGGCTACAATTCCCACACAGGCTCATCAAAATTGGACAATAGAAGATTGGAAAAACGTTGCCTGGTCTGACGAGTCTCGATTTCAGCTTAACATTCAGATGGTAGGGTCAGAATTTGGCGTAAACAACATGAAAGCATGGATCCATCCTGCCTTGTATCAATGGTTCAGGCTGGTGGTGGTGTAATGGTGTGGCGGATATTTCCTTGGCACACTTTGGGCCGTGATGCTATCATGTCAATATGGACCAAAATCTCTGAGGAATGTTTCCAACACCTTGTTGAATCTATGCAATGATGAATTAAGGCAGTTCTGGCAAAAGGGCGTCCAGCCCGATACTAGCAAGGTGTACCTAATAAAGTGGCCGGTGAGTGTATAAATCCTGAATAATAGAATACTTTTGCTCAGCAGCTGCAAGTTAACGGTCTGCTTTTCAGATTGATCTTGCAAAAGTAATTAAAAGATAATTTCAAATAAGCCAAATGTAAGAGAGGATTTGAAGTGTATTTCTGCCTTCTACTGCTGCACCACCAATCCTTGACAGTTTTAGGAAACCTTAATTACAGATTTACCATTATACTTGCACTGTTTGTGACTTAAAGGCATGGGCCAGCCTTTAAAAACAATATTAAATGTACCCACATTCATAAAAAAGTGTGTTCATTGCATTCATGCCTGCTGAGAATTGCACCTGCGATCAGTGTGTTGTGGGTGCAGTGCACATGCTACTGAATGTTTACATCTCAGCCACAGGTGCATATGGAGATGAACACCCACTGTCATAATTCTAAAAGCAAACGCCCTGTAGAATAAATGCTGGCAGTTGCAATTTGTATGTATGAGCTCAGTAAAAAAAATATAAAAGTTGAGATTGCGCCCAGTAAATAGATAACAAACACGTCAAGCTTCAAAATTGCATGCTTCTGTGAAATGCCGGAAAAATACGGTACCTAAAACTGTCTATAGGCGATGCTGTAAAACGGGTGCCCACAATTTTTGTGTTAAGATCTACTTTTCAAATGACGAGCTACATGAGATCTACCAACGATAAAAAAAACCTCCCTCGCTCTCTCCTGGCTGTCTGTCCTTGCTCTCTCCCCTGGCTGTCTGTCCTTGCTCTCTCCCCTGGCTGTCTCTCCTTGCTCTCTCCCCTGGCTGTCTCTCCTTGCTCTCTCCCCTGGCTGTCTCTCCTTGCTCTCTCCCCTGGCTGTCTCTCCTTGCTCTCTCCCCTGGCTGTCTCTCCTTGCTCTCTCCCCTGGCTGTCTCTCCTTGCTCTCTCTCCTGGCTGTCTCTCCCCGCTCTCTTTCCTGTCTCACCTTGCTGTATTTTGCAAACAGTGCAGTGCAACAGGCTGTGTAATATTCTTTGATGTAATACATAGCACTTCAACCACCAGAATCCACCAGAAAGGTGTCAAGGAGGTTGGCTCAGCAGACTCAGGCTAATAGGTAATCATATGTGCACAGCTAAATAAATATACCAAAATGGAATAAAGGGGCCGCCATTCACACCCTTCGTGATCTACCAGCATCAGCTTTGAGAGCTACTGGTAGATCACAATCTACCTAATGGGCACCCCTGCTGTAAAAGCTATTACAGGTCATCCATTTAGCGTTAACTGTGAATAATGACCCTGGAATTATTGCTGTCACTCTGGCATGCACAGCAATACCCAACATGTGGCGCAGTTGTCGTTTTTGTATGTAGATGCGCCTGACACATTGCGCCTGCGTTAGTCTGTATGTGTACATGGGAGAAAATACAATTGTTTTGGGGGGGTGTTATTACATTTAATTTTAACTTTTATTTTTGTAAAACTTTTTAAATTAACTTTATTGCTATCACCGAAGAGACTAGCAAGCCCCCATGTGATAGCACTATAGTGGTGATAGGTCCTCTTTCAGAACTGACAGCAGTTCTATTCCTTCCCCCATTCCCCCACCCTTTCCGAAATGGAGTTGGGTATTAAGGCTTACTGCAATTTGTAGTTTTACTGAATTAACTTGTTTGGTTCAATCAATTTTTGATCTTATTACTTCTTATGTTTTCATGTGTATAAACCATGACCACTTCCTATAAGTGAAACTTACACATTTTAAACCTTGCCATCATTTTATTTATATTCAGATTCTGGAGAAGTAGTACAACATATTCATTTAGTTTTTGTGAGAGTGTGGGTGTTTTCAGGCGGTAATTGAAAAAGTCTGAAACCTTCCTGCTGGTCCTAATTCTAAGATTTTATGGTTTACTGTGCAGGCTAAAGTTCTCTAAAGATGTGGGTGGAAAAAAAGCCCTCTTGAATTAGAACTGTAGGT